CTACCTATTCCACACAGTTATCTGCAAGGCTGAATAGGTGGTTATATATTCAGAAGCAGAGAAACACACAGTGCCTCTGTAACATCTCTGCCTTCTCTCTAAGTGAATAGAGACTCAATGGGCAAATCAGTCTATATTTTGCTGGGTTCTGACCACCTTTGCCTGAGTTCACCCCTAACTTTATTCCTTCCCATTTCTGCAACAATCTGCAAAGAAATAATACTTTGCACGAAAATTCACATTTAAAAGGGAATTCAAATATGTGTTTCTAAATGCATTCCCTCTCCAAACGCACATATTGAAATACATTTTGTCTCCAAATACATGTAGAATATATGTGGTTATTCATTTGCTTCTGCCTTTGAATTGAGAACCATATAGAACATTCAATAAATGTGGAAGCTGGTAAATAAACAAGCCCCAAGTGAAACATTAGTATGGGAGGTGTGGAGCAGCTTTGGTCATATTGGCATTCAAATATTAAATCCCCAACCCCATTCATCTCTACTCTTAGAGTTCCAGAAGTATCAACAAAAACCCGAGGGGTTTACTAAGAAACCATATATGGTGGTATAAGTAACTAGGGAAGAAGAGTGTTGAGCTACTACAGCTCAGGTTTATGTTGTAGTAATATATAGTAATTATCTTATCCCAACCTAATCATTGCACTGCATTTTGTCAGAAGGTCCATTTCAGAAAGGGATCTTAATGTAGTACCACCTCCCATCTGGAACTGTCTCCCATTACACAACACTCAGGTATCATATCTATGGTCTTCTCTCCTCTTTCGACAAACCCTCTCAGTGGAGATTTTTAGACCAGTTGGTATTTGCATCAAATTTAAAATTGTTTTAATATAAATGTTTCAACTGTTATAGTTGTAATTGTGTTATATAGGTTTTATCGCATTGTGAAATCACTTTAGGCGCTTCATAGGGAGAAAATCATAAAGGAAAAAATTAATAATAATAACAATACTTATCCTTTCCTCTTTTGACTTGGCATAAAGCTTCTCTAAATGCAGCTACCACACAACTGTCAGCAATGAGGACATCTGAAATCAACACCCAGTGAGACCAACCTGTTCACTTTTAATAATGATCCCTCAACTCAGTGTGGCTGCTGTGCCATATATTAGATTACTTCATATTAACTTAGATAATAATGCATTTTCAAATATCACATTAGAAGGAATTAGATTCCAGTGGTTAAACTGAAAATAAAATTTCTGATAGTGCTTTAGTGAATCTGATTCCGTGAGCCTCAGGAGTGCGGATGAGGCTCCAGAAGTTTCGAAAGGGCGGTTAAAGATGTTATTAATACGATAAAGGAGTATGCACAGTTATAGCACATGAATCATTTTTACATCAAAATTTCCCTGTTTTTGGAGCAGAGGCACTCCACAGACAGCATATAAAAGTTCTCTGAACTGTGCCTCGGGGCTGTGTCAACTAATTATTTCTGTATTTGAAATTCTGTTCATTATGAAATTGATTACTCCAATCAATTTCCCCCCATCTTTTTTCCCTGAAACAAGTCAAATGGCACTCTCTGGTTCTCCCATTCAAGGAAAGTACAGAGCTTTCCTTTTGAGATTATGAAGCATAGTTTTATACAGGAAATTATTTTCTCTACACTGAATTGGACTCAGAGCTGAAGCATGCCAGTCAGAACCTTGTAGTACAGCCCCTCTTGGGTATCGTACTTCAAGGCAGGAACTGCATCATTGAATGATCTCCTGCATCAAAATACTAATATTGATAATCCCTGCATATAGAAAATTAGCATGTGTTAATAAGAAGAGGTCTAAGCTATTCATATTCCTGATATGTTAGCTTTATTCATGTGGGGGGGGGGGGAGAGAACAACAAAATAAGGGGAAACATTCCAACATGTGATCTCTAACCATTAATTAGAAATTAAGACATCAGTACATTTCCCACTGTTATGTTTTAAGGTTCAAGGATAAGCATAGTCAGAAAGATGTCTGGAAAGGAAAGGGGGGAGCTATTTTATTTGCCCTTCTTTGGGGACCAGGCCTCCAAACACACAGCCCACCCTCAGGTATGTGACAGAGAACAATATACTGGACGTTTTCTATCAGAAATGAATTAAAGTTCTTTGGGGGGGGCACGTATGGGGGGCAGGCAAGAGCTCCCTGTAAGTAGCATAGGTCCTCAACAGCAGGTCCTGAGAAGAGTTTGACAAACATCAGTGGTAACCATATGGTCCAACTGTAGATTCTTAATAAGTACAAATACCATTCACCTCAATTACCTTACTCATCTACTGTCACGCTCAACTGAATTCCACATTTTTCAGGTTGCTTTGTTTCACTTTCTATTAACTTGCTGAGTGGACAATCAAGTTTGCTAGCATGCACTGAGCTAAGAGTTTCTGCAAGCTGTAGCATTTACATTTGTGACACAATTGTGGGGAGCCGGGGAGGAACCCAGGTTGGGAAAGATGCAACAGTGTGATCCAAACCATTGACTCATGACTGAGAGACCAGTTGCCATTGGCAAGGGATATGAAATTCAGTCAGATCATTGGAAGAGGGGTGGGAAGCAAGAGGTCTAATTTGGTTCCATAAAGGAAGCTGAATAAATGGTTGTGGGAGTTGGAGAGATGGACAAAAATGTAATTTATCACAGTTTTTCTTCTTTCCAAACTTAAGTTGAGTTTGTTACATTTCTTAATTAGTCTGCCATCAAAAAGCATCACGAAAAACTATTATGCACCTTTCTCCTAACATACACATTTTAATGCAATTTTGCATAATATGCAGCACTTTCCAAGCAATTTCTGCCAATCCAATATAATGCAACTTTGTATGTTATACATACTTTCCCCTAAAACTTTCCTAATACTGGAAAATTGTATTGTAGAATCCAAAACGTACATATTTCAGCCTCCCTGAGATCTAGTGATGAAGGGTGGTATATAAATATAATAAAATAAATACAAATAAAATACAAAGTTAGCTGTGTTTCAGTTCTTGTGTTGTTTTGCAAAGAACAAACAAAGTACCATATGTTTTAATTTTAATGCAAGCCTACTTTGTCTGCAACTTTCCTGAATTAGTTTGCACTTTCCAAATTAATCAGCCTTGAATTTCTCCCTTATCCCTAGTTGGGACAAGTCAAACAATTATTCCGGCAATCAATTTAGTCACTGGTGATTGGGCCTGTTACTCAAAGCACAGAGCCCCTGTTGCAGAGCTGCTCAATATGGGTTTGGAATTATAGTGGGGAGGGGGGGGGAGAGAGAGAATAAAAAACTGCAGTTCTAACTGCAGCTTAATTTGCAGGTTTCCCTGGTGGGCTGGCTGTAAAGATCTATTTTGTTCCTTTTGAGCCAATCTGAATAAGAGGCCATCGTGGGATACTGCTTGGAGGTCAGCGCCGAAATACTGCAAATGGCTTCATTTGTTTTGGAAAGAGTTCTTTTGATGCCCAGTCCAGCCACCTCTGTGAAGGATATTCCAGAAGAGTACTTTAAGGAGAACTGATGTCAACCAAGCTTTAAAGCAGCCATCGAACCCCACTGCTGCTCACTGGCTCATGAACACCCTGGCCACTTCATGTCAGCTCTGTTTTTGTCTGTGTTAATCGATTCTAGCCTATATAATTAGTTTCCCGTTTTACCTTTTACAGTGCTTGGGCAGCTGAGGGGAAATGAAACAAAAGCAAGGAGGTGTGGGCAAACTGGGGGGGTGGGGGTGGAGAAGAAAGATTTCTCGACTTGGAGAGTTGGGAAGGAATATTCAGAAAAGAGTTCCGACCAAGTTCTGAAGTAGAGATGGAGAACTAATTTCAGTCTTTGGCTGAGTTGCTTCTTAAAAGCCCTTGGGTACCAGTTGCAGGGAAGTGTAAGTGGGGAGAGCTGCTGTGTGCTCAGGTCCTACTTGCAGAGGCATCCAGTTGGCAGCTGGCAGAAAAGGATGCTGATGGTCTGGTCCACTGGCCTGATCTAGCAGGCCTTTTTTCCTACTCTTATGCTTAAGCTTAATGTGAAGGAGGGAATAGTGAAGATCTTATAAGTCAATTATTGCAAGCCAAAAACAGTAGCATTGCTTGACATGGAAGAGATGTAATTGGTGCCTCTGTAGTGTCCTGGTGTACAATTTGGCTTGGAATATGGCCCAATTTGGGAAAATTGACCTGTAAAGTTGGAGTTTTGAGGCATCAAAATCAGACTGATAAATGTATTTATGTGTGGTGTGACTTTATAACATACAGAAATACGGAGGAACATGGATAACCTCCACTGCCACCATATAAATAGGTTTGGTTGATCTGAACATTTTTCCTCTTCTATAAATGAACAAAACTGCTGTTAAATGAAGGTCTTGTTAATATTTTGGATTCAATGTAAGAACACCTGCAGATATACTTACCTGGTAGATCATGACAAAATATCACATGATTTGAATTTAAATTATACTTTTATTCTTTGATAGATGTTTGCGTCTTTTTTATATATGATTTTGCTTTCTACTCTGGACAATAGTATCTCACATTTAGTGATATCTGTATATTTCCTTTTTTTAACTAATGAATATAATAAACATAAATATAGGAACAATATGGGAGAGGGTGTGGCTGGTCAGCAGAAACCTGAACAGGCACGTCCCTCCTATAAAACCAGCACATGCTTCAACTTTCTGCTGCAGGTCCTACTTTGGGTATACGTGACAAGATTGCATCTCTCAGGGGCAATTAAATCCATAGGTGGTTTACATATCATGTGAAGTGAAGAAGTGCCTCCTTTGATTTGTCTAAAACCAGCTGCTTTCTTATTGTTCAGGCAGTATATGATGGCTTTTTATATCTTGGTAGAAATGCTAACTTTTTAAAATACGAAAAGCACAACACATTTTCAAAGAGATTTGTCTTGAGGTCCAAGCCAAGCACGGCATGCATGGAATGCCCATGCATTCCATCATGTCTTCACAAAGAGCATTCTGTAGACATTCTACAGTGGGACATCATTAGTGTCTCCACTGAAAGACAGGGCTGTTCTCCAGTTCCTCTTGTTTCCTTGACCTAACAAGTATTTTGTTTTCATCCACCGTTTCCCTCTGAGAAAGGCGAGTTTCCAAGCATGAGCTGTCTTTCAATCACATGCCAGGGGAGCCCTCCTAGTCCAGTGAATGAGAGTGAAGATGTTAAGGGCGATGCACAGGGATTTGGGGAGGTTTCATTGCCAACTCCTTTAGGCTGTTATTTCGCTTTTAATGGGCTCGCCTCCCTCCAGCCCACACTTAGCGAACCAGTTGTTGTCATGTGCCTGGCTGAAGATGTATCCGCAAAGTTAACTTGACGCAGGAAACTTCTTTTCCTTCCATCTTGACTTAGCAGCAAACAAAGGAAGGAATGCCAAGTGACAAAAGCCTGCTGGGGACCTCTCCTCTCTTTTGAAGATCCATTTCACACCCCGTATTCTGGTGGGCATGGAGCATTTCCCACACCGTATCTTGCAAAAATGCAACATTGTGCAAAAGATAACTCTCCCTCATAATTGGTTTGCTGAAATTTGTTCAAGTTCCAACAATGCCACTGGGAAAAAAGATACTACGTCATGGTATTTTTATGGGGGCGGGGGGCGTGTTTTGAATTGGCAGCCTGCTGGCCACTGATCACCACCATTGTTGTGGCAACAGAGCAATAGAGTTGAAACTACAAAAAAAAAAAAAAAATGCTTTTACCAGGAAAAACTTTCTGCATCCAAGAATTCAAAAAAAAATTTCTTCCAGCTCTTTCAAAAAAATTAATTTCTTCCCACTCATTTATGAAACCCACTCAGTGCCGGATTTACCTATAAGCTAAACAAGCTATAGCTTAGGGCCCCACTCTCGGGGGGGGGGGGGGAATTAAAGAAAAAAAAAACCTGGATGTACATTTCCAAAATATAAGATAAAAAAACAAATAAAATAAAACCTACATACAGCAACAGTGTTTTGTGTTGTATAGGCTCCTATGATGTAAGTAATGGGCCCCACCTGCTCCTTAAAATATTATGGTCCATAAATTACCATATAGCATATATTCAACACACAAAAACCAGCGACAATTTGTTATTGACAAAGGACAGCTGGACAAATAAAGGGCCCCATTACCTTCAGTAGCTGAGGGCCTCATCAAACCTAAATCCGGCCCTGAACCCACTGGTGGACCTTGGGCCACACACTACTTCTCAGCCTAACTTACCTCACAGGGTTGTTTTGATGATGAAACGTGAAGGGAGTGAACCAGGTACATGACCTTGAGTTCCTTGGAGAAGGGGGTGGGATATAAATGTAATTAAATAATCATAATATTTTTTAAACAAACAAACAAACAAAAATCCCACACACACAGGAAGTACGTGTGCACAACTAGCCCAAAGGGAGATAATTTTTCCACATGGCTCTCAACTAGGTGGCTCTTTTAAGCCGCCATCACACACTCAAAATGAGTTTTGAACAAAAGAAGATTGCATTTTCTATAAAACTACTGAAGGATCTATGTGCCCCCCCACCCCCCGGCTGTGGCAGGGACCTAATGGGCTATTGTGGAATTACTGTTCGTGCTATGGCACCCTCTTCAGGCAAAGAAAGGAATAGCAGTGTGTAACATCAGCCCTTGTGATTGTCTTACAGTATGAAGCCTTGCTGCTCAGTGCTCCAGCTTTCAGCTCAAGTTGTGGACCTCAGGAGCTCCAGGGGCTCAGGAACGTTTCCTCCAGAACTAGCTTCTGGAGCTAACGAACCCAAATGTGATCAGACTTAATACAGCTGCTCTTACTTCCCAGCATTAAAAAAAATAAAAAAAAATCCTTGGCTTTGTTTGCTATGCTAATGCTCACATTGCCAATTCCGCTGCCATTTATTCACTGATGCAGTTAAGAGGATGGATTGGCAGGCAAAACACTTTTTAAAAGATTATTTTAGAAACAGTTATTTTATGTGGGGTGAGGGGGTGGGGTGGGGGAGAGAGAATTAGCATAACAGAGTCAAGATACTGCTGAGTAAAGCTTCCCTGCTTTAAATATAGCTGCAGACCTATCTTGACGTAGAGAGAGGGCCAAGAGACAGAGATCTATGTGCTTTAATCATCTGTTTCAGAGAGCCGATGAGAATGTGCTAATCGTGCAGTTTTAAGCCAGGGAACATGGCTGCAATTCCATCATGGTTCTCTGCAGTTCCCTAAAGTGTACTTTGACTCCTGCCTTTAATACAGGGTTTAGGACATTCTGCCAAAATGTAAACAGACACAGACGTCTCCCCAGAGCACCTATTATTATTATTATTATTATTATTATTATTATACTGCGGGTTACATACGCTTCAGCTTACAGACGCTTCAGGTTACAGACTCGGCTAACCCAGAAATATTACCTCGGGTTAAGAACTTTGCTTCAGGATGAGAACAGAAATCGTGCGGCGGCAGCGGGAGGCCCCATTAGCTAAAGTGGTGCTTCAGGTTAAGAACAGTTTCAGGTTAAGAACGGACCTCTGGAACGAATTAAGTACTTAACCCAAGGTACCACTGTATTATTATATCACCTATTATTATTTCTGTCATCCATCTCTGGGACATCAATGTTCCTTCTCTTTTCCAAAAGTGGAACTGGAAAAAGCCTGCCATTTGGGTGGGGTACAGAGAATGTAACTAATTTTGCACCCCTGTTTTGCCACATCTTAATCTTACACTTGTGACAATCTTACAGCTTTTGGTCTGGAGCCGGAGAACAGCAGATGAATACTTATCTGGAGATGTCAATACTTATCTGGAGATGTCAATACTTATCTGGAGATGTCAAGATTTTCCTCCGTTCCTCTACATGTTGTGGAGTGCTTTGTATGTGCCCTTACAATATCCAAGCACAGAAATACAAACACCGTGATCTGCACTTTACATCAACTCTGATGGCCCACTTTTGATCACAGTACCGTGTCCTGGTAATATGCCATTCATTATTTACTGGAAGGAGCCAGTGATGGAAACTCGAGGATGTAGAAAAATAAGAGCTGTGGGAAACATCCAGTGTTTCTTGGGGTTCTGCAGATGCAATTGCTATGCCAGCAGATACTTGGAAAGGAGGGAGATAAAGCAACAAATGGGGGGGGGGGACTCATATAGATACATCATCATCATCATCATCAGTGGTAGTATTTATTAAATCTTACTACCACAAAAGCCACATGTTTACTATTATTAATTAGTATTATCATTTGTAGTGCTGCTACTACAAAAAAGAGAAAGACTTATAGAAATGTGTAATTTATTATTATCATTACTGCTTCCTACTACTGCTGCAAAAGTAGGGAAAGCCATATGGATATGTTGTTGTTGTTGCTGTTGCTGTTGCTGTTGTTGTTGTTGTTGTTGTTGTTACTACGACTATTGTTATTATTACCATTGCTACTACCATTTCTATAAAAAGAAAGGAAAGTCATAAACAGATGCTGAGGAAGAAGAGGATTTGCATCAACTGTGGTCGCCTAACAAAGATGGATTTTTGTTTTGAACAAAAAATCCTCTGTGGTAGTTTGATGAATGGTTAGCATCCATAGATGAAAACAAATGATAAACTGACCCTAACACCAGCCAATTAAGAAATTACTGGGATGAGATGCTTAATTTTTTGGGGGGGGCGGGGGGGACTGGAATCCTGGAACAAATGAAAATATTCAAGAATGGGAATTCTGGGAGGCCATCACACATTACAGTTAAACATGTACACCTAAAGGTGTGGAGTGCAGATAGGGATGGTTTCACACACTTCCAACTCACAAGGGCAGTGAGTGACTGCACACTCCACAGAATGCCTCAGCTAATCTCAGCTCTCCTAAGAACCCCACTGGATCAAACCATGAATGTTGGAAGACACACAAAAGAAAGTACTTATTTATGCAGCACATAGTTTATCTGTGGAACTCACTCCCACAAGGGGCAGTGATGGCCACCAACTTGGATGGTTTTAAAAAAGGATTAGTCAAATTTATGGAGAAGTCCATTGATGGCTACAAGCCATGATGGTCAAAGCTCTGCCTCCACTGTTATGTACTGAAGTTCTCACCCTGGGCCAGCAGGGGGATACTGTAGATAGTTATGCAAATAAGGGATCAAAAGTGACGTTCAGTGATTGGATAGTTTTAGAAAGTTGTTACAGTTACGTTGTACTGGAGTTCTTTATAAGCAGGCTGATTGAACCATTCAGTTCAGTTCTGTCCTGGCCTGTGAATAAACAAGAGCTGTATGAAGAATCGCCGTGTCGTCTGATATGTTCACCCACAACTTAACATCCACGACTGCAGGCAAGGCTTATGAATACCACTTGCTGGATATCACAGGGCGAGAGAGCATTCTTGTGCAGAATATAGAAGGGTATGTAAATATATGTAGGAATTATTTTTCCTGCCCCAAAGTCAACGTTACAGTTTTTGCTCTGCCCTCTTTTGCTTCTGCCACCACACCCTCTAGCATACAGGCCTCAGAAGGTTGCCCAAAAGGAAATGGTGCCCTCAGGCTGAATTCACTTCCCTTCCACATCATAGTTACAGGGTCTCATGAGTACATAGGGCTGAGGCCATACCTCAGCCTGAAATCTTGGGAGCTGGTGCAAGTTGAGGCAGATGGAACTTGTCTAGATAGACCAACAATCCAAATCCATAGACCCAAGCGAAGTTATTTCATCAGTTTAAACAAGAACATTACAGCTGTGACAAAGCCAAGGCTTTTGGTTAAAAAGTCTCAGCCTTTCAGGGAGTTGAAACACAAGTTGAAGACAGGCTTCTGGGGTATGTCATTGTGCTTTTTATAGCTTTATGAATTACAGCTTATTTCTACCTAAGGCTGTGATCCTAAGCTGCTTCACAGCCTTAAATAAGCGGGTATGATTCATGTTTCAAAGTCTGGGTCCCCCCCCCATCCTCAGCCACAATGTGAAATGAAATAGGAAGAACACACACAACAACCACTGCCACCACCACACACACACACACACACACACACACACATTGTGTGTTTCCTCCAGCATTTTCTAGGTCCTGCAGCATAGGGCATTGAATTCAGTGCCACAAGACCCCTCCATAAAACAAGGAAGCAAGATGAGATTCAGAGGATGGGGGAAAATAAAACATGCCAGCGAGAAATGTTTTTTTAAAGCACATCTTGGGACTAGATGCAGAAGATATAAAATGGAAGTGGGGAGAGGGTGATTTGGAATAACATCACTTGCAGCAGGGGTGAGTATAATAGGAAGAAGGGAGCTCAGGGTATAGATGAAAGGGAAGGGCTTATTCAAAGGAGGAATCTCAACAAGGCTCTTTTTTAGCTGGTCTTCATCTGAAAATCTTTGCCTTTTATTACCTGACTCTCGGTCCAGCCTGGCAGAGCACAATACAGGTGGAATTACATTTGCGAAAGGAAGCCTTCACCAAGAATTTTTGCTAGCAAACATGAGTGAAATAGCAAGTGGGGGAGATTGCCTGCCTCCCTGTTCAAAGCATGGGGATGTATACAACCAAGTTATACTCAAAATAGACCTCTGGAATTTATGAACCCATGTTAGGCATATCTAGTAATTTTCATGGCTCTGAGTACAGCTAGCATTGGATACAGCCATTGCATTTATATGCCTTGCTCTTGGAATGGGAGAATGATGCTGACCAAGGAGGTAGAGTCAATTGTAAGATGACCCCAACACACACACACACACACACACACACACACACACACACAGTACAACCAGTGACAACACCAGAAAAACATGCGGGGGGGGGAAGAAGAAGCAAAATATATTTCTAAGAGAGCAGGTAAGAAAAATAACAGCATACATTAAGAGAAGTTCAGAAACGGGAGAGGAGTTGGGGGAAACAACTTCTGGTTCAGGAGGGCTCTTCCTTCCCCATGAGAGCAGCCTGTATTATTATACTGGTATCTTATTAGTCACTTTTTATTATTATTACAAAATAATTCAAAGTGATTTACAACAATAAATAAACAACACATGCATTAAAACCAGCATAGAACAAATCAGAAAAAATATATATATCTAAAATTCTCATGTTTAAAAGATAGGAATAAATGATTCCAACAGCTGAAGAAGGCCACAGATAATTAAAAGTTAAAAGCCTGGTGGTAAATGTGTGTGATAAGTAAATAATAGAACGAATGAATGGATAAATAAATAAATATTTTCTTGTCTCCTGTCTCCTCAGGTAAAGGCTGGAAGTCACATTAACCAAATTCCGGATATTCACTGTGGCATGTATAAATAATAAATGGATATCAACAAGACCTCCCTCAGCAGAGATGATGAGAAACTACAATTTAGTGGTAGAGTGGATACTCAGTGGGTTCCTTTGCAAAAAAATAAAAATAAAAATAAAATTGGGAAGAGTTTATGTTTGCTTTAGCAGATGATAAAATAAGACTTTTGTGACCCTGCTGTCATCCAAACAGAAGTACAACCTGACTCTCACTAGAAGATTTTCAATTCTGTACAAAGCTCACCCTTCTCACAACATGAGAAATCAGTTCTTGTTCTCCTTTCTAAGGTTGCATTACAAAATCTGCCGACCCACAATACCCACCCTCGAAATAATATACTCCCTCTTAATCAAATTGAAAACAAAGTCTATGCTTTATAATACCGTACTTGATTACCTCTGACCAGTGCCAAGCATGGGACCTTACATGTATTAAATACACCCTTGAGTTAAAAACACATACAAACACAATACAGAACCATTTCTTCAACAGAGGTCCTTTCCAATAACAAGGAACAATACACCAATTGCCCAAAAGGATTTTGCATATTGTTACACTTACCCTTAGTTGACCTCTTTCACAACTCATCTGCTGTCTTGAAAGCTACAAGGAATTAAGAGAAGGGGGAAAACAGTTAAAATGGTAGGTCTTCAAAGACTGAAATTTGCAAGGATTACTGACATGTTGCCTGTAAACAATATGAGAAAGATGAGCAGACAGGCCAAAAGAAAGCCATGGTGGCAGAATGAAATTTAGGAGAGAAATCTGGGTCCTGATCAATCCAGAATGGGAGCTCATGGAGCTGAAAAGTGAAGGGGGAGATGAAAAGGTTAGAGGCAGTAGATCTAACATGCCTACTGATATCATAACCACCAAGATCCAGACTTCAGAACTCCAGTCCCAGCCGCTGTAAAATCTATTCTGGAACAACGAATCAAAGATATTGATTGCCAATATTTTATATCCAATGTCCACAGAACATGCTTGCAAACATATACTGGATTAATTTTAAAATTTACTGGATATGCTGCATATCTGTATAATTTTACTATCCTCAAAAATCACCATGCCTTTTTTAGGGCCAGATTTAACTGCTTACCTTCCGCAAGTATCCCATATGATGATTGTTTTATGTCCCCATGGGAGAAGTACAGTGGTGCCTCGCAAGACGAAATTAATCCGTTCCGCGAGTCTCTTTGTCTTGCGGTGTTTTCGTCTTGCGAAGCACGGCTATTAGCGGCTTAGCGGCTATTAGTGGCTTAGCGGCTTAGCGGCTATTAACGGCTTAGCGGCTTTAAGAAAAAGGAAACAAACTCGCAAGAACTCGCAAGACGTTTCGTCTTGCGAAGCAAGCCCATAGGGAAATTCGTCTTGCGGAACGACTCAAAAAACGGAAAACTCTTTCGTCTAGCGAGTTTTTCGTCTTGCGAGGCATTCGTCTTGCGGGGCACCACTGTAGTCAAAAGTTTGAGTCGTGTCTTATTTGTAAGTAATATTCCTGCAGAAGAACCTAATAGACTACTTTGCTTCTGGCCCCACATCCCTTATGATGAAAGACCCTACTAGGACAGTGGAATGGCACCTGGAATATTTATTGGCTGACAAAAAAACAAAGTAACAGAGTTAGTGGCCAAGTTTCTCTTCTTTGCTCAAAGGTCTTGTAAGATGATTCAAAATTGCAATTGGAATGAGAATGTATTTAGCAACCTGTATTTCATGTTTCATCTTTTGTATTGTGAATTTGTGAGTGTTTTAGCCTTAGTATTGCATTGTATTTTAAAGAAGTGTATGTTTCAATGCTTATGTTTTTATTATCTGTGTATGCTCT